AAGCATTCTGTTCTGTAGAATTTAGTGAGAAGTAGAATGAGATAAACACAAAACAATAAAAGTCTCCAATTTGGATTTTACTATGTCAGGGATGGACAACTCTTGAAATGTTTTGTCATTAAAGTACAAATCTAACTTTAATGCTGTTATTCCTGGATGTTGTTACCGTCTTTGGCCAAATGCCTTTAGATCATGTTTGAGGAAGAAATGATGTATGATGCATCATATTCTATGAAATATCTTTCAATAGCAAATTATTCTTATCTTCATGAGTGGTGAAACAGTTTTTTTGTTTGCTTGTTGAACAGGATCTCCTGTAGCCAGTGCTGGCTTCCATCTCGGTTTATAAACTCTTGACTCCCCCTCTCTAGTGCTGAGATTACAGGCCTGTGCCACCACACCCATCTTAACATACAATTGTAAAATATGTCTAAAAATGTTTTGTTTATAAAATGGGGATAATAATGACTCCTTCCTCAGGGCTATTAAACTGAGAATTCCACTCATCTAACCCACAATGAGCTTTCCAATATGACCCTATAAAGAGCAAAAGCGGTCAGTTTTTAGGAGTTACATAATAACGTATAAGAACTCATGACAGTTGTTGAGTTCTACATGTATACTCTCTTTGGAAAAAAAGCCCAGCATTTTTCATTGGAATCAGAAGTTAAGTCAACTGATGGCATCTTCCGGCTCCAATTGGCTTTTTAAAAAACTGCAAAAAATACTGGATCGAAAATGACAAGATAAAACTTCCTTCCCCTCTGTGTTTTGGCTGTGAAAGCTTCAAGAACAATTGAAATTGTTTGTGCAGAATATAAAGGGCAAGTTATTTCCTACATTTACAACTCAATTTAATAGTTCATTTGTGGTAATAAGATTCAGCAGTTCTCCAGGCTCTAAGAGTAGGTAAAGACCCTTCTGACAAAAGATCTTTTCGTATCTTAAAAGTAGCATCTTGAGTAGCCAGGGAGATCAGATAATCACTTGGCGGGAAAAGGATAAGTACGTACCAAATTCGCACAGTCTGTTTCTGTTTAGTTTATAAACACGTATGTCAGCTTTCGTGCCTTGTGGGACTTGAAGTCCGAAGTCAGAAGCCATCCGAGAGGCTGAACCATGGAAGCCCACAGCCCCAGAAGCTCTGCGCCCTCAAGACTACAACTCCCGACACGCACCGAAAGGCTGCGCCGTAGTCTCGGCGACCAACCGTGAGCCTGCAGGGCAAGCCCCGCCCCCGGCTCCCGGATGGCCTTGGCCAATGGCAGCGCTCGGAGTGCAGAGCCTGCGGGTTAGGCTGTGAGGCCCTGGCCCGGGGTGGGGAGGAGTCTGAGGGGTTCGGAGCGAGCTCCGCCGCCGGGTGGGTCGGGGCGTTTGGCGCGCCCTTCTTTGAGTGGCGGTGGCCGGGCTGGGCGCCGGGAGTGGGAAGCGACGGCGCGGCTGGAAAATGCCTGTCCATTCCCGAGGGGATAAGAAGGAGACGAATCATCATGATGAGATGGAGGTGGACTACGCGGAGAACGAGGGGAGCAGCTCGGAGGATGAGGACACCGAGAGCTCGTCGGTCTCCGAGGATGGGGACAGCTCAGGTGCGTGACCCAGCCGGGCGGGGGTGCCGAGTCCCCGCGCGGGGCACGCGACAGGCCGCGGTGCGCACGCCGGGTGGCGGCGTCCTGCTTGGAGCGCTGGGCGGGGAGACGAGGAAGGGGCGGGGACTGGCTCGGCCTCGGCTGCTTCACTGGCCAGGCGCAGTCAGCTCCGGGCTCGCGGTCGGCAGGGCGGGCTCTCTTGGGGCCACCGACCCGGGAGTGATACGCCCTCGGGCTGGTCTGAAAGACCGAGAACTGTCCCCTCTCTCCTGGCCACAGACCGCCTTCCCGGCGTTTGTGCAGTTCTTCCCAGCCTGAGTGGGGACCGAGGATAGGTTTGCCTCGTCCCTTGGCTGGCTTAGAACCCCGTTAACCCTCGCTTCCATTTCAACCCATCACCAGCACTGTCACCATTGCTGTTGAGGGGACTAACTTGGGAACTGTCCGGTTCCTAGTAGGTCCCTGAAGTTTCCAAGATTGCGAAGGGACTAGCCTCAGGGGTGAATGCGAATCCTCATAGGTTTTGTTTTAATTGGCCAATTTGGATATTTGACATTTCCTAAATCTTCTGATACTTAGTATTCTGTAACTTTGGGCTATTTCGGATTCTTTTATTTATGTTTTATATTTTTGATGGGGGGAGACAGAGTAACACCACAAATAAACTTTGCAAACCGTTTGGAATTATTTTTAAAAGAATGGTACATGTGTGATCCTTTTCTGTCTTACCATACCATACAATACGATGAGAATGAGAATGGTTTCTTTGTGTTGTCCTGGTTTGGGTCATGTAAAGGGAAGTGTTGATATCAAGTGAATGACAGTGTGTTATCACCCCACGCTTTGATTTCAGATTTCCCTGTCAGAGCACACCTCCATGGACAAATGTAATTACAACAAGTCAGCCAAGCAAAAGTCAGTATTTTTGAGTTACACTTTTTGCTTAGCACAGTACTCAGTATGAAGTATAAATAGTTGTATTAATCTTATTTCAGTTAAAAAATAACAAGTCACTAGTTGGTTAAATTGTCAAATAAATGATTGACTGTAGGCAATAGTATAGGAATTCAGAGATAGGAAAAATTTCCAGAACTGAATAGTCAACATGTTTAGTTGAAGAAGGTGGGATTATCTCAATTATTTTAAGGAATTTGGACTGGGAAGGTTTAAGGTGGAAGGTTTGTGCAGGAGAAGGAATGTAAGAAAAAGTGCAAAGGCCAGAGTTTAAGGCTTATTGAAGAATGAGAAAACCAATTTGACTTGGAGACTAACAGTCCCAGAAAGGAAGAGGAAGCTGTAGATGTGAAAGATTCCTAAGAAAGCAAAAAAACAGAAGTGATGAATACAAGCTTAGGAGTGAAAATCAGAGGAAAGTTAACATATGGGGGATGATAGGACAGTGTCAACAGCCATGGAAAAGCAAGGTACTGGAGATGGAGATGGAAGACCAGCATTTTGAGCACTTTATGCTTGTGGTTATGATGGCACATTTAAGTAAGAATGTCCAAGCTGACGGGGAAGTGAAGCATGGGACCTGCCTGCGCCCAGAAGAATAACTCTGAGCTCATCCATCTAGCCTTGCAAGTTGTGAGACTTCAAAATTAGCCAATTATTTAACATGAAATAGAAAGTATAAATCACAACTACACTTGTGAACATAGTTGGGTCTGTAAAGCTTTTTGAGGGGTGGGGTGTAGAGAACATGGCCATATTATGTAGCCTGGGAGGAAAGCAATTTTATCTTCAAGTATTCTTGGATTTTTTTGATACAGGGCTTCAACTGTGTAGACCAGGCTGGCCTCAGATTCACAGAGATCTGCCTGTCTCTGCCTTGTGACTGCTGGGATTAAAAGCATGTGCCACCATACCTGGCTGTTCTTGGGTATTTTTTATGGGAGACAGAATCTCATCAAATTATATGTTACAATTTTCCCCTTCTAATTTTTATGTTGTTTGTTATGATTTTTAACTTCTTTTGGAGACAGCATCTGATTTTGAACTCAGAAAGATCCCTCTGCCTCTGCCTCTGCCTCTGCCTCTTCAGTGCTGGGATTAAAGGCATGTGCCATCGTGCCCGGCAAAGAAATTATTTAAATACATTTTGCAGTTTTGCTTCTCTAAGATCATTTTCATTTTACCACATCTTACGTGTTAAACTTCCCATTTTTATTCCTCTCAAACCTTGGTACTGAGCAAATCCTGTGGCCACCGAGAAATCTGTACTATTCAGAGAACTTGGGAAATAAAGTAATTCTGAGGGAGTAAATGTGCTATCCTGTGTCCATGCCATGCCCCCATCCTTCCTGCTTTCCGTTGAACCCAGGAACTTAAGCTGTGCTGTACCACTAAACTACTGTGCTCTACCACTGATCTGTATCCCCAACTCACAGACCAAGTTTTAAAGAGCTGTAGAGTAAGCTATTAAGAAGCAGAAATGTTTTGGTTTTAGAAAATTATGTATTTCCTTGCTATATGACAATTGAATAGGATTTAACTCTTTCTCATAGTTTAACTCTTATTTGATGAAGATGCAGATCAATTTGTGCCTCTGTTATTTTGATGTGTTGCAAATATGTAATGTAAAAATAGAAGATGTGGGAATAGGACAGATCTGATTAGTTGCTTTCCTTAAAAGTTGACTTGTTTTTCTCCCCATTTGCTGTTTCTTACTGACTGACAGGAATCTCCGGGGAGGTTCGAACAGTGAGAACCTGAGTGGCAGCTGAGATAGCCTATGCTAAACCTGACGGGATTGGACTACTTTTATGTGATTTGACAGTCAGCCGTGTGACAGGGTTTATTTTTCTTCTTTTAAAGATTCTATTTTTATTTTAAGGAGCTGGAGAGATGGCTCAGCAGTTAAGAGCACTGGCTGCTCTTTCAGAATACCTGATTTGGTTCCCAACACTCATATGACTGCTAACAATCCTCAGTAACTCCAGTTCCAGGGGTCTGTCACCCTCTTCTGGCGTTGCACACGTGCGGTGCACTTGCAGGCAAAAACCCTCATATACCTAAAGTAAAATAAATAATTCTTTAAAAAGTCTCATTTTTATTTTAAAGCATATGTGTATGTGTGCATCAGTATGTGCGTTTGTGCATGTGAGTGCAGTGTGTTGAGAAGCAGAAGAGGGCATGAGATCCCCTGAAGCTGGAGTTACTGAATTGTGAGCCACGCTATTGTGGGTACTGGGAACTGAACTTGGGTTCTTTGCAAGAGCAGTATACACTCTTAACCTCTGAGCCATCTCTCCAGCCCAGTTTCTTGTTTTTTTCCTCCTTTTTTTTTTTTTTTGAGACAGAGTATCACTCTGTGATCCATGCTATACTTGAACTCATGCTGCCTCAGCTTCCCTAATTCTGGCAGCACAGCTGTGTTTCACAGCTGGCACCACAGCTGCCTGTTGCAGTTCTGAAGGAAGAATTCCAAAAGGTTTTTGTTTGTTTGTTTTCTTTTTTGAGACAGGATCTCCCTGTAGCTCTAGCTAGCCTAGAACTCACTATGTAGATCAGGCTGGCCTCAGTCTCACGGAGATCTGTCTGCCTCTGCCTCCTGAGTGCTAGAACTAAAAGGGTGCACCCCCACACCCTTCCCTCCTATGGTTTTGAACAATACTGACCTTTTAATTTTAAGGACCTGGTCATTTTTGGTGCCAAGTTCTCATGAATTGTTGTAAAACCAGAGTGGGTTAATTCCTTCATAAGTCATAACTTACAATCCTGTAAGAAGATTGAAAAGAGTGAACATGAGAAGCTCTAGAGACTACTGGAGCTTTAACCATATGGCAAATTAATTCTCTAGTGGTAATTATTTTGTATAAAAATTATAGATCTTGGATGTCTAATTTCATATTACAAGGTTCCCCTCCCCCCATTTGAATTAATCAGATATATCTGAAACAGTTTCATCTTTTTTTCTTTTTTCATTGAGACAGGGGCTCATAGGCTCCGGCTAGCCTTGACCTTGTTTTGTGGCCATGTCTAGCTAAATTTTCAGTCCTCCTCCCTATGCCTTCCAAGTGTGGGGATTACAAAGCTGTGCCATCGGCCTGGCTTGAAACAGTTTTGTCTTTGATACTTGCTTTTTCATTTTTTATTAACAGAAATGGATGATGAAGACTGTGAAAGAAGAAGAATGGAGTGCTTAGATGAGATGTCCAATCTTGAAAAACAGTTTACAGATCTCAAAGATCAGTAAGTGCTGACTTTAGAAAGTCATTGTCAGTGAGAGTCCTTAATTTGTTTTTACTGGCACTAGAGCAGTTACATTGTCTCAACTGTGTTCCCTTTTGTATTTTATGGGAACAGGCTGATCTGATCTGAAGGAGGCTGCAAGTATTGTTTACTTGCTTGAGACCTCATTAATGAAACAGGGTTTTAGGCAAGTAGGGTTTTGGGGGTGAGTGGGATGGAGTAGATGACTTGCATGTGGGTGTTGGTGATTAAAATGTTTTACATTACTGCACTCTTGCTTCTAATTTTTGTTCTTCATCCTTTTGTGAAATAATTGGCTAAAGATTCCCTTCCCTGCAGCACTACTGATTGAACCTACTGTACTTTATGTGCTATGCAAGTGCTCTGCTACTCAATTGTATAACCCCAGCCCATTTTTTACTTTATATTTTGAGACAGGGTTTCACTAAGTTGTTCAGGCAGACCTTGTACTCACTTTGCAGCTCAGACACGCCTTGAACTTGTGAGCCTTCTGCCTCACTCTCCCAAGTAGCTGGGATTATACGTATGTGCTACCAGGCCCAGCTGAGATACAAATTTTTAAATTTGAGAATAAAATAGAATATTTCTCCAAAATTCCCAGTACTGGTATGGTAAATTGATTTTATTTTTGTCTTACACTGAATAGTAAGTATGGACATTATCTATCTCACATGTGTTACTTAATTTGCTTTCTGTAACAATTCTATAAGGTTGGGATATAGTCTTATTTCCATTTTATTTGTGAAGATATTGATGCGCAGAGAGTTTTTTCATTCCCGTAGTTTATCAGAAAGTGATAACATGAGGCTTTTTGCTTCCTAGTGTTACTGTGTTCACTCCACTAAAGGCCCCTTACTCACTGTGGAGGAGTTGTTGAGGAGTAGAAATGGCATAGGCTCCAAATCAGGCTTTTTTTTTTTTACATGTGTACAAATGTTGGGCCTGCATGTATGTAAGTGCATCCCTGTCATGCAGTGTCCATGGAGGACAGAAGAGGGCATCTGTCAGATCCTTTGAACTGGAGTTATAGACGGTCGTTAGCCACCATATAGGTGCTGAGAATCGAACCTGAGTCTTCTTTAAGAGCTCCGTGCTCTTAACTGTGAGCCATGTCTCTAGCTTTTTCCATGCTTTTTTAACTGATGTAAAGGTGATAAGGGCCTAGGAGTGACTTCAGTGTTAGAATGCTTGTGGAGCATATAGGAGGCCCTAGGTTTCATGTCCAACAACACAAGTAAATAAATAAATACATATACAGACACATACATAAGTAAAATCAAAGCTGATAGTGCCAGTGATCTGACTGTCTACTTTGTGGATTAAGGAACAGTGTGTAAAAATCTCTTCCATTTACTTGACATGTGGTGGGTGCCTATTTGATGCCAATTTCTTCTTCCCCCTCTTTTCTTCTTTTTTTCCTTCTGGAGATTTAATCCAGGGCCTTGAATGTGCTAGGTAAGCACTGTTATTACTGAGCTATATCTCCAGCCCATTTTTTATTTTGAGACAGAATCTTGCTGAACTGTTCAGGCTGGCCTCCAACCTCCTGAGTAGGTGAGATTGCAGTTGTTACCATGCCTTCTCTCTCCTGCCGCCCTCCACCTTCTTTCTAGCACCAGAACTTTTATAGGAAATTGGTGACACAAAAATGGACCTCTGTGACTTTTTTCCTTGAGGCTGGATCTTGCTCTCTCACCCAGCCTGGCCTCAAAGTTAGTATCCCTTTCCTTAACTCTCTGGGTGCTGAGGTTGCAGGTGTAGACCATCATGCTCAGTGAAGGCCTCCAAGGTTGGAGGGGACATAGGATAGATTTAGTGGAATTACCAAGATAAGATAATAACAGTTTGTTTATCATATTAATACTACTATTTATGCTATTTCTCCTTTTATTTTTCATTGGTATTAGATATGAACATATGAGTATTCCACGCTTGTAAAGTACACAGTTTACAAATTTGGCTTTGAAATATTGGTTAATTTTCTAAATCTGCAGATTTATATGACTGTCATATGTTGGTGTCATATGCCCGTAATTTCAGTACTTACGAGGCAAAGGAAGGAAGATCAGACTTTTCAGGCCATCCTAGGCTACACAGCAACACCCAGTCTTTAAGAAAAAGATTGCATTGCTAATTTAAAGAGAAAACTAGTTTGAGTTTTTTATTTGGGCAACAGAGAGTTCATCTAGGATCATTCTGGAAAAGAGGAAGTGAATTAGTATTTTTACATTATTTTTTCATTTTAGCACAAGTAATCCATAAATGAATAATTCTCAAATAATTCATTAAATTTTACCAATTAAGCTTTTAAAGTGTGTTTCATGGCTCCCCAACAGAATGAAAATTACTTTAAATTCTTCTACATAGGAGAACTTTGCACACAGTCACTGGGTCTAGTCTTCTTCACCCTGGGCCATGTTGTCTTGATTTTACTCTTTGACTATTTACTGTGACTACCAGCTAGTTCTCTCTACCAGCTTCATTCATCTCTGATTGTATTGAAAGTAGAGCCATGACCATCACATAATAAAGGTCTTTCTTGAGGAATTGATTTCTAGAAATATGTATCAGGAAAAATTAATTAAATTAATTTTTGTACTAGGTTTATGATCCATATTTTTTCATCTTGCTATTTATATTTTGTCATATTGTATGTCTGTAGGCTGTCACAGGTCTTTAGAAGAGATAGGAAGAAATACAGTTGTCCTGCTTCACTCCTGCTCTAGCCCCTTAGGACACTCTAGTATTCTCTTCATAAGGCTTCCAGCCCATCCTCTGCAGTATCTATAGAGGTGGAAGGTGAGTCCTTCCACCTCCTTCAAAAGACGGGGATTTGTGCTGCCTGTATTCTCACTTATTTTAGTGCTTAGCAATGAGCAAATAACTGAGCATTTACACTGTAGGTGTATGTGGTTGCTGCTAACGAGCTCGTGGTTCTTCATGAATTTACACTTGAATCCCAAAAAATTAGCAGGATTTCCTGTTGAAAAGACCCCTATATTATAGGATTATTGCCAAAAATAAACACAAAATGTCTCATATACTCAGTCCTTTTGATAATCCAACAATTGTGTCAACTGATAAAGGTTTTTTCATCAGATATTACTTATTCAACCTGGTACTTTGTACATGCCAAGGGCTCTATTACTGAGCTGCATTCCCAGCCCCGAATTTAAGTGTTTTTTGTTTGTTTTTTTCCTTTTTTCTTTTCTAAATTAAAATATCTGTAAGTGGATTCATGAATAGGGGCAGCAGGGACCCTTTGCTCAGTTTTCATTTCTTCTTTTTTAAAAAATTTGTGCATGTATGTTTGTGAGTGTGAGTATGTGTGTGGGTGTATGTGTGCCATGGTGTGCATGTGGAGGTCATGCAGGAGTTGGTACTCACTATGTGAGTTCTGGGGCTCATACTTTGCTAATGTCTTTAATTTTTGAGCCATCTCACTGACCCAAATGTGTAGCCCAGGCTGACCTGCAACTTGTAATCCTCCTGCTTCCACCTATTCAGCATGTCCTACCTGCGTGTGCCACTATAACTGGCTTCTTTTTGTGAGATAGTGTATTGCATTGTAGTCTAGGCTTAAGTGGAGCTCACTGTATTATCCAGGCTGGCCTCAAATTTAGGATCCTCTTGCTTCTATCTCCCAAGTGCTGGGATTACAGCATACATGTATGCTGCTACCCAGCTCCCAGTTTTTATTTCTTCATCCATTAAGTAACTCATTTTATTGTACTTTCTTCATTTCTAGTTGAGTTGAACTATAGACCAATTCATGGGGTCTACAGTCATTACTGTGTTTCTTTGTTCTTTTAAAATACTAGGTAGGAGACATGCATAGTGACTCATACCCTTAATTCTATCTTTCAGGAGGTTGAAGAAGGAACTTTGTGAGTTGGAGACTAGTCTGGGCTATAAAGTGAATTTTAGGCCAGCGAGGCTATATAGTGAGCCCCTGTCTTAATATACCAAATACAACAAACAAACAAAAATTAAATAAGATGACTAGTATACTGATTCCTTTTGAAGTGTGGAGAAAAGCCAGGGATTTATTTATTTTGAAAACTAATAATGTCTGCACTTGAACTATGAAAGGTAATTTCCTTGTTTTTTTTTTTTTAAGCTCAATGTTTAAATAACCTTTTCTTTTAGAATTGATTTATTAATTTAAACAAAAATTGAGAGTGCCAAAATAGTTATTTGAAGCCTTTTTAGTTTTATTTTTTAAAGATTTTATTTATTTTTATGTTTTACCTGAATGTGTTTAAGTGCACCTGTGTGCACAATGCCTTGTGGAGGCCAGAAGAGGGCATTGGAACTGGAGTTAACAGCTGGTTGTTAGTCACCATGTGGGTGCTGGGAACCGAACCAAGTCCTCTGCAAGAGCAGCCAATTTCCTTAACCACTGAGACATTTCTCCAGCCCCTATTTTTATTTTTTTGAGATGGTTCTTGCTGTGTTGTCCAGGCTGTCTTATCTCACTCTCCTGCGTAGCTGAGATGACAGACATAAATGTCTTGACCTGAATTTCAATTGCATGTTTTTGTACTGTAACTAAAGAGTAATCCAAGTTTAAAAAAAAAAATCATAGAAAAATATCCAACATAATATGGTGTATATAAAATCAAATAACATAATTGACTTCTCCACTTGTGATCAAGGCAAGAATACATTTGAGAGGATATTAGAATGTGAGTGCTGTTAGGGAAACATAATGTATAGGAATGGCAAGTTGTTAGCCTTTGTTGGGAATTTTAAATTAATGTCTTAATTTTTGCTTTGTTAAGACTTTATAAAGAACGATTAAGTCAGGTGGATGCAAAACTACAAGAAGTCATAGCTGGAAAAGCACCAGAATATTTGGAACCACTGGCAACTTTACAAGAAAATATGCAAATTCGTACAAAGGTAGCAGGTAGGAAAGTGAAACAATTTTTTTCCATATAGTAGATTTTACACTCTAGTTTTAAAAGATATTTGCCAAGTGTTTGTGGATGATGGGATTACAATTATATTTCCACTGTTGTGGGATTACAGATAGATATTTACATTTCATTACAAATTTGCATACAGTTAGCCCTAATTCCAGTACTTGGGAAACTGAGGCAAAAGAACTTGTGTAACTTTAAGACCAGCCCGTACTTCATAGTGAGTTCCAGGTCAGTCTGGACTGTAATGTAAGACCCTATCTCAAAACAACAGCAAGCCCAACCAAATAAAATGTGCTTATATTCATTGACAGCCAGTCTAGTTATTTATTAAAACTGCTTTTTCTCTGCTGCTATGGGCGATATAAAGACAACAGCAGCAAAATACCATTCTAATTGCTCAAGGTCAGTAACACCTGGCATTCAAAAGCATTTTACTTTCTTTAACTGATAATATTACTTGCATAGTTTAATTCTCTGTGATAGAAGTGTAAGTCTTTGGGTATTTTTACCTGTACAAGTGATATTTTTTTTTTAATCTTAATTTTTATAAGATAGGGGCCTTGCTATGTTGCCCTGAGGTTCTAGCCTCCAGGTATCTTCTTGCCTCAGCCTCCTGAGAAATTGATTTTTCTTTCAGATGTTTGGAAGCATTTTTTAAAAATGTTTGATCAAGATATTGTAGAACAGGGAATTAGCCTTCAATTGGATAACTGAATGATGACTTTCCAACTGGATAGGTTTATATGGTTTAAATCTTAGTCTGTTTGTAATTGACCAAACCCTAGTATCATGCTCTAGTGTTGATAATTAAGGGACCTATCCATTTAAAGATCAATTATGATTTTTTCTAGTTTACTAAAAACAGAACTTTAATTAATGCTGCTGATAATTGCTTTTCTTTTTTGGGACATTAAATGATCTTCAGTGTACTGGCTGTGTGATACCTAAGGCATTGTTGATATGTTCTTTTGTGCTAGATGCGCATTAAACCAAATGTTTAATGATCCCTGTAAGTAACCTGCTGTTTTTGAATATTGACTTAGCTTACCCTCAAATTTTAAAAAAAAGTGTTATTTTTATATTCTTTTAGACGTAATAGGCGACTAGAAAATATTGTGTGAGTGAATTAATGCATTTTCTACTGTGTGACTTCCCTCACTTTTTGATTTTGTGAAGAGTAGTACATGTGACTATGTTGTGCATGGCTTAGTTCCAAGTATCTGCCACCCGCCTTTACTGCATGTAGACAGCTGACTGTCCTAGGGCCACCTGTGACTTAGCATTCTGTGTACATATCTAGAGTTCTTTGCTTTCCATTTTGGCAGTGGCATATTTGTATGGTCACATTACCTGATATACTGTTACCTTGTTACCACCTGTAAGTACAGCCCTCTCTGGCATCTGCCGTGTTGGGAGTACTCTGAACAGCATAGATTTTCTTGCATCAGTTTACACATTTAATCCTTTTGGGAAATGGTAGACTCTGGATAGAATAGTTTAAGTATAGTGGTTTTGATGGGATAAATTATCCAGTTCTTGCTGTGAGGACATATGAATGATGAAACCAGAGTTTATTGTCTATCTATTATGAGAGACCTGAGCATTGTTTTTCATGGAAAAGGATTGTGCTTTTCATTTTGATCATTATTTAGCAAACATTTAAAATTATTATTAGAAGCATGGGGTAAGAACAAAAATGAGCTACGTAGTTTCTTTCTAGCTCATAAAATCTTATTTTCTATTCTTTTTCAGTATGTATTTTAATTAGAATTTTTGTTTTTAGTTTTTAAAGATCAAGTTAGAATCATTTATCAATTTCTTATTGATTAGTCTTATAAAGGTGGTAAAGACAATCTTTGTAGGGAAGGGCTAATGGAACTATTGCTAACATAATCAGTATAATTGTGTTTGGTTGCAGGAATCTATAGAGAGCTCTGCTTAGAATCTGTAAAGAACAAATATGAATGTGAAATTCAAGCTTCTCGCCAGCATTGTGAGGTACTGTCGTTTTGTTTAACTTTTAAGCTAATTGCATCTCTCTAAGTCTTTCTGAGTGTAGTAGCTTAAAAAGTAAATAAAATAAACAAAATTAAGTAGTGTTTTAACTCATCATGGTGGTGCACGCCTTTAATCTCAGGAGGCAGAGGCAGACAGATCTCTGTGAGTTCAAGGCCGGCCTGGTCTACATAGTGAGTTCCAAGATAGCTGGGGCTACAGGGAGACCCTGTCTCAAAAAGACCAAAAAAAAAAAAAAAAAAAAAAAATACAGTTGTACTGGAAGTTGTGTTGTATTGGAAATGGGTCACAAAGGAACATAGGGAATATCTGTCATAATTTTAGAAGTTTTGCAACTGTTACTGTATTGTTTATTTTTATGGTGGTGGGAACTGATTCTAGGGCCTTGGGCACAATAGCAGTAGGCAAGGGATGTAGCACTGACCTACTTCCCAGCCTGAAGCTATTACTTTAGAAAAACTTTGTGATGATTATTTTATCTGCTATCACTGAAATTATAGTATATTTAGTATGATATGGAAGTTGAGGCCAAAAGTGTATATACTGTGGTGCAGTCAGAACATTGGGCAATAGAATTAATTTTTGACTGTCTATACCAGTATCCACATTTTAGGGCAACACTCTAAACTGTGGAGAAGGAAAAAAAGTGTGTTTTCCTGTATGTTCTGTTTGTATTGAATAGTGCTTAAAGACATAATGCTGATTTTGCAGATAACTTTGTAAGAAGTCCAGGGCAAGTTCTAGAATGACTCTTCTTTGGTCTTTTTGAGACAGGGTCTCTCTATAGCCACACCACCACGCCTGGTTTGTTTTGTTGTTGTTGTTGTTGTTTTGTTTTTGTTATTTTTTAACATGCCATATGGCAAAAACTAGAAAAGCCATGGAGCCTATTGCTTTTCTTCCTTCTTGAGACAGGGGCTTACTATGTAGTACAGACTAGCCTTGAACTCTCCCTCTTCTGCCTCTGCTTCCCAAGGTTGGGATTACAGGTATGTGTAACTATGCCTGGAACATTGCTAATATTTTGTTTAGATGTTTCATCTCTTTGTTAAGGAGTAAAATTTAATTTTCCGCTTTCAGATGTCTTTGATTTGATACCAGAATGCATAAAGATAAATTAGGAGTAATGGTATTTTCTCTCCCATAAACATGTATGTTTAAGATTTTAGTTGTCAGTTCTATGAGTGTTAAGTATGTTTGTGTTTATGATTATTTTTTTTAATGGTTTCACCCTCATAGTGAAGTTGCAAGAAGCCAGGGAGGCTCATGCTCATGCTAGCACCTGGGAAGAAGAGTCCGGGGGAATATGAGTTTGCCCTGGGCTCACAGTGAGTTTCAGGTCAGCTTGGGTTACACAGCCAGACCCTGTCTTAAAAACAACCAGCCAAACAAGAAGGTATAAGTCTAAAGAACTCTACTTGGTGAACAGTTTGAAAATGAGTTGACCATGTGATCACCATTACCCCAAATCCCATCTCACACATACACATACACACCTGCAGGTTGAACCAAGGGCCTTGCTCACTAATACTTAGAGTCAGGTTTCCCATCTTTGACAGAAATATCTCAGATCACAGTCATAATGCTGTTTGTATTGAATTTATCAGGGAGTGCCCAGTTTTGATCTGCTCCATTACTGGCATTGTTACTCTGATCACTGGACTCAAGTTGTGTCTTGCAGCTTTCTCCAAGTAAACTTTATCCCATCGTAATAAATACATAGTTTGAGGAAAATTACTTGGAAACTGTGTAAGCACCTTGTCCCTCAAAACACTTCGTTTGTTTGTTTATATAAATATAGACTTACTGTTTCCTTCGTCCTCTCTTGTGTACTCCTTCACTTACTGAGGGCATTCTGTCAGAGTTCTGTCTGTGACAACAGACTTATTAACACCCTTTTCTCTCTTTCCCTGCCCCTTTCCTCCCTCCTTGCTCCCTTCCCTTTCCTCTTCCTTCTTCATTTTTCTTCTTTATTTCCTAAAGATATTTCTCACACAATTTTTAATTGTGTGTGTGTGTGTGTGTGTGTGTGTGTGTCTGTGTGCGTGTGTGTGCGCATGTACACATGTGTGGAGGTGCGTGGGGAAGCTGGAAGAGGGCATTGTATCCCCAAAGCTGGAGTTACAGATGGTTGTGAGCCACCTGAAATGAGTGCTGGGGACTGAACTTGGGTCTTCTGCCAGAGCAAGTGCTCTTAACCCCTGAGCCAGCTTTCTAGCTCCTCATATCAGTTTCTTTAAAAGAATGATTAATGACTCAAGTGATCCTCTTACCTTAGTCTCCCCAGCTACTTGCGGCTGCACATGTGAACCACCAAGCCCAGCTGAGTATTGCCTTCTCAACAGATTTTGTTAACTACATAATACACTGTTAATTGTATACACCATGTCTAACAACAGATCTGCAGCACTTGATCATCTTGCATGACTGAAACTTTATGCTAGTTGAGTAGCAGCTCTCTATTAAGCCATTCTCTGGGTTCTGGCCGTCACCATTCAGAGTGTTTGATTGATTTATAGAGACCTCATGTAAATGGTACGCACTGCTTTTCTACTGTGTTTGGCTGATGTCACTTAGCATAATGTACTCAAGGCCATCTGTGTTGTCATAAATGACAGGCTTTCCTTTTTTAAGATTGGGTAGTATTTCATTGTAAATACATATCATATTTTCATTACCCATGCATTTATCTGTGAATATTTGGGTTGTATATCTTGGCCATTGTGAATAGTGCTGCAATGAACAGTTTACAAGGAGAATGCAAATATCTCTTTTTAAGATCCTGATTCTAGGGCTGGAAAGATGGCTGTATTAGTTACTTTTCTGTAGCTGTGATAGAAACACCATGACCAAGGGAACTTTAAAAAGGAAGAATTTATTTAGCTTATGGTTCTAAAGGGGCAAGAGTCAGTCCATCATGGCAGGGAGGCATGGCAGCTGGTGGAGGAGGAGCAGAAGCTAAGCTCTCACTTCTTCAAGCAGGCACAGGAAGCAGAGAGTGACTAGAGATCTGGCAAGGCTTAAGAACTCTCTAAACCTGCCCCCAGTAATGTGCTTCCTCCAGTATGACAACACCTTCTAAGACCTCCCAAAATAGTACCACCAACTGGCGACAAAATGTCCAAAGACTTGGAGCCTATGGGGGACATTCTCATTCAAACCACTACAATGGTAAAGAATACTGGCTACTCTTGAAGAGGACCCAGTTTGGTTTGCATTACCCACATGGTGGCTAACAACCAGGGGATCTGATGTCCTCTTCTGTCCTCTATCGACATTGCATGCACACATGCACTTACATACATGCAGGGAAAATACGTAAAAATAACATAAAAATAAAACACATAAAAATAAAAATGAATAAATTTCTCCCAAAATTAAAAATAAGATCCTGATGTCAGGGTTTTTTTGATGATTTATCGGGTTATATGGTATTTCTGTTTTGTTCTTTTTGTGTTGCTAGGCAAGCTTTTTACCACTGAGCTGCATTTCCAGCCTTTGGTGTCTTAGGATAAGATCTCACTGTTATGGATCCCAAGACAGCTTCAAACTTGTGAGCCTCTCTCCTCTGCCTTCTGAATACTGGGGTTACAGGTGTGTGCCATCATATCTAGTCTCTTTTAAAAATTAACTAATTTTTAATTTTTTAATTGATGAATGAAAAATCTGTACATTTATGCTACATAACATGATATTCTGATAATATTGTAGAATGATTAAAAATCAAGTGAATTAACATATTTATCATCTTAACATATTTATCATTGTGCTATTATTCATTAACTCCAGAACTTATACCTTCTAGAACTTTGTACCCTTGGGCTAATATTTCTGATTCCTTTCCCATTCTCAGCCCCTGATGGTTACCATTCTGCCCTCTGCTGCATGAGCTAAGAGTTTACAGCATTTGTTTTTTTTGTGCTGGGCTTGTTTTACAGTGAAACTGCCCTATAGGTTAATTCATGTCACAAGTGGCAAGGTTTTGTTCTTTTTAAGGTGCTGGATAACATTCTTTGATGTGTGTATATGTGTGTGTGTGTGATGTAGTAAACATGGGAGCATATTACCTTTTTTCTTTGTTGTTTTGAGACAGGGTCTCCTTATAGCCCCAGCTGGCTTGGAACTGTCTATTTAGAGCAGGCTGTCCTCGATCTCACAGATACCCATCTGCCTCTGCCTCTGGAGTGCTGGTATTAAAGGTTTGAGCCACCACATCCAATGTCTATTTTTTTTAAAAAAGAATAAACCACACTAAGTTTATTGGTGCTTACAGAAATCTACAACATACAGAAATATTCAAACAATAAAAAAGTGTAATTTTAAATTCAGACTTAGTTCCTCATGGAAACACATGTGGAAATTGCCCATTTAAGGACTTATTTTGCATTGAAAATGTGTTATATCTGGAGAGAACATTCAAAGGAGTTACATGAAGTTTACTGTGAACTCATTAGTATGAATTTTACTTGAATTACTCTTTCTTTTCCTTCTTTCTAAATGTTATAGTATACCTACACATGCATTTACTTATATATGTACATATATAGTATAAGCTAGGATTTGCATTTGAGGGAGAACATGCAGTTTTTTTTTTTTTTTCTCTCTGTCAGGCATTCTTGCTTTCTACACATTCTAGACCCACCCATTTGTCTGTGAATTTTGTGATTTCATTTTTTCTTTAGAGCTGAATATTTCATTATATATATTGGATCAGATTTTTATTATCAATTCCTTTGTTGATGAACAATTAGGTTGGTTCCATTTTGTTGCTATAGTGAATAGAACAACAATAAATATGGAAGTGCTGATTTTTTTTTTTTTTTTGAGAGAGAGTATCTTTTGATGTAGCCCAGGTAGGCTACATCTCTTGGGTGCTGGAATTAGTCACATAGCTCCATGCCTGACAGTCATTCTTGAAGTACAGTCAGGGTAATATAACATTCTCATATGACAGCGGTTTTCCCTTAAGCATTAGTGTGTGA